CTACCGGTTTTAATGACTGAATTGTCCTTTTATAAGTCCACAATGAAGCTCAAATTATCCCAAAAACTTTCTTAAATCTCAAATACATTACAATAAAATACATAGCATATAGCGCAACGCTTCTCAAAGATCCAGCGGCGCTTTACAATGATAGTAATAGAAAAATATAATCAATAAAGAATTAAAGTGAATTAAAAAACTAGTGAAAAATCAATGAATGCAAAAACTACAACTGCCTAAATAAATGGGTTTTAAGTTTAGACTTAAATGTTGTTAAAAGGTCCACTTGCCAAATGTCATCCGGCAAGACTTTCCACAGAGTAGGAGCTCTATGAGAGAAAGCACAATACCCATATGTTTTAAGATTACATTTAGGTACCATTAAGAGTTTTTTCTTAGAAGATCTTACGTTTCTATTAGGAATGTACGGTCTTGACAGTTCACTAAGATACAGAGGACTCAGACCATTTAATACTTTAAAAACGAGAAGAAGAAGTATCTTAAAATCAATACGGGTGGACACATGCAGCAAATATAGGTAAGTATAGGGGTAACGTGATCATATCTGCTGGTGGCTGTAAGTAGGCGGGTAGCTGAATTTTGTACATGTTGTAGTCTATTAATTTGTGACTGCTGTAGGCCAGATAGAAAGAACGTTACAATAATCCAACTCCGACGAAATAAAGGCATGAATAAGTATTTAACACTGTGCAAGAGGAACTTTCTAATTTTAGCTACGTCTTATTCCCTTTGAGCTTAAGCTTTTCCGCAACCATGCATAGTTGGACATCTTGAATACATTCCTCCATTAGTGATTTGGACTGTAAAGCATCTGAGGGGTTGAATGTCGTGTATATCTGCGTGTCATCAGCATAGAAATGATACCTCATACCGTGACGTTTGATGACAACTGCAATTGGGGCCGTGTACATGGAGTACAAAGTCGGTCCTAACACAGAACCCTGTGGAACACCACAGGCCAGCTTGTGCTTAAATGAACAACCATTCGCCACTCTGACATATTGGAAACGATTTGAAAGAGAAGAGCGCATCCAGGCCAGTGCATTTCCCTTGACAACGTAGCGACACTTAGGTCGTGTGAGTAATATATCATGGTCAAAGGTGTCAAAAGCCGCTGAAAGGTCTAAAAGAACAACAATGACACAAGCATTCTCATCGATCGCCCTAAGTAGATCATCATTAATTCGCGTAAGAGCTGTTTCTGTACTGTGTCCCTTCTTGTATGCTGACTGAAAAACTTCAAGCAAATTATTATCGTCCAGATGGTCAGCGCACAGGCAGCCCAAGCTCACCACTACAAAATAAAGCGGACGTGACTCTTACAGTGTTGCGCAACGTTTTATATTTATAAAGGTTTGTATGGGACGTTATCGGTTTGCCATAAAAGAGGGAAAAAATGTCTTGTTTTGAAATAAAATGGACTTATCTTATTGCCTCGTTGTTTTCTTTGTTGATTACCAGCGTCTTAGGCCATTTTGAAGCGTTTTCGGCGAGTTGGCGCTATGTTGGTGTTCCACTGCTAAAAAAAAAGTCAAGGCAGGAAACCTATTTGAGAAGTGTCCGTCGCCCGAAGCGAATAATTCCGCCAAAAAATTACCACCAGAAAATCAAAGCAGAGATGCTGCAGTTCCATCTCCATTCACTCGATTCCAAATTCCTCCCACAGATCTTTCACTAGCGATGCTTTTATCTCCAGATCGATCGACTTTCCAATTTAATTCGAATTAGGCTCGTTGAAACGATCGTGGACCCGTTCGCCGATCGCACAGTATGTTGGGTAACAAAAATAAGCCCGACGAGAGTAGCCAGCGGCCTGCGGTCGACAGACAAGGTAAGTACTTGGTGCAATCCTTTTTGTATATTAATGAATGCAAATGATTATGTATTCCCATATGTTCTCCTGTATTGATGCATGTATGAAGGATTTCACCAAGTACCTACCACAAACAAACCAGTTCGCTCCCTGGTCGGGGAGCAGGCCGCTGGCTACGCACTGCCATAATGCAAATCACCGATCAGGTTCCGGATTTCCAACATAATTATTATGTGGAAATCATGAATCCGAATCAGGGCCGGGTTGTTCAAAGGTGGGTTAAGATAACCCAGGGTTAGTGTGAAATTTGATCTAGATCTAAAAGCTTTAAAAGAAAGTTCAGTTTAATTCCATTTGTCTACAATTTGATCATTGACTGCTGTAAAAATAATTGGGAAAATTGTCCCGAAACGGCTTTTGAACAGAGAAATATAGAAACCTGGATTAAATTTAATCCTGGGTTTGTGCTAATCGGCCTTCGAGCAACTGGTCAGACCTTTAGCTTCATCCTATCTAAGAGGTGGGTAATTGAATATGGGGAAATCCTTAACATTCTTTTTCTAAGAAGACGACATTTCAGTAGAATCCGCCGTCTTGGGCCACCACGCGAGCACTATTCCTCGCCCAGCCGAATCTTGGCTTAACATTCACTATGACGACGTAACAACTCCACGGGAGTACGAAGGGTAAAGAAGAATACTTTGAAACAATACTCAATGTTCTTGGCCCGAGATTAGAGAAATGAAACTCACGAGTTAGGAATTGTTTACCACCACAGAAATTCCGTGTTTTGGGACTGCACGTTGGTTCCATCCATGCTGAAAAGCGAGCGCGAGAGGAAAAAATTCCCTCCAATCAGGAACTGGCTGAAATCGATTGGCACCAGTCACTCTAACAAGTCTGCGGTTCAATGCTGACTTTTTTTATACTCAACAGAAAAAGTGCAAACTGGCCTGTCAGTGAGGAGGCAATGAAAGCAACAGCGTCACAACGGCTGGAAACCCTGTCAGACGCAAAACCTCTCGATTACCAACCTTGCCAACACGTGCAGAGTTGCCAGTGAAGCAGCAATGAAGGCCCAACCTTCTCAACGTATCGAATTCCTTGCACAGGCAAAAATATATGCTCCCTTAAAATTCAAATTAAATAGTGATTGGGATTGGAGTGAGTGGGTATCTGATTTGACAGAAGCAGCCAAGAATGTAACAGCATCAAAAAGAGTTCTTGTGCTCTCAAATCCTAAGATGCCGCACCGCAATTGCAAAGAAGGGTGTCCTGTGATTTGGGAAGTGTCACAGACAGCCCAGAAGGCTCTCCCATCTCTCAGAGTTCAGAAACTTGAAAGGCCAAAGAGTCGCAGTCAGCACAATGAAGACTATGATGCTAATGCATGGAAAGTCTCACAGGGAGCTAAAGCAGCAAAGGCTACTCCCAGAATAGAAGAACTCGCTCTACCCATCCCTAGAAAAGTCAGAGGTAAAAAAGTTTTGTGATCCACTTTTATTAATAATTTATTTATTGATTATCAATTAAGTTCAAATTTATCTATTATATGTTATGCACACTGCATTTAATATTGTTCTCTTTGTGCTGCAATGAATACCTTTGTTCAATAAATGACAAATCTACTGTCTCTTAGAGCAAGACTTTAGTTGGACTATACATGAAAAAACAAAAGAAAAAGCAACTGTTTACCCTAAGAAACAAGGCTGATTTTTCGCACACTTGCAACATAGGAAAAACTAATGGAGGAATAATTTCTGTAAATTACTTTGCACCCATCAGAACCTTGCAACCTGTTGGCAGTTATGCAACTTATTGCATGACACACATATACTGAGCCTGCATTCTAAATGCAGTCTTGTTACTGTACAGTTATTTCTTTCACTTATGGAAATTGTGTTTGTCTTATAATGGGATGCCATTGGATCTGAATTTTTTAAGAGTGCTTTACTCAGTAACCATGCATTCATTGGTATGTCACGCAACATTTCTTGTGACTTAAAAAAAAAAGTCATGTGACCAACTTCAAGCTTGTTGATAAAGTACTGGAAAAGAGGATTGTTTGTATCAAAGATGTAAGTGCTGTTTCCTTCTCAAAGCAAACTTAAGGAGTAGATCTCTGACAACAGAAGACATGTTTCATCTTTGAGCAAAGATCCTTCATGTTAAAGTTCACTACTATTCCCTCGTGATAGGATTTTCAGCTTGTCATAGATACTCCCGTACACTTTCAAATTAGCTTTTACAGTTGGACTTTGCAGTTCGCTTTATGGTGTCAACAAGGGCTTCTTGAAGAACTGGTAAAATTCTTGCACAACCTTCCATGCCACACTTTATGGCCTAAAGAAAAAAAGTGATGGATGACAATTACGAAAATTTTTAATATAATACTAAATTAGGAACTTGGTTGAACGTTGATTAAGCATCATTCTGTGTTCTTTAATTTCAATATTTACAGTACTGTTGTTGTTTTTGCCAGGAGGGTAGAAACTACCAAAATCAGACGGCAAATAATTGATTTTGTATCTATTTAATGACATTTTTTTCACAAATCATTACATCAGGATCGCACTAGCTAGGTGAAATAACATGTTGTGGGACTAATTTTTGGCAAATAGATGTTAATAGCTATTTCTTTGTCTGAGCACTAATTATCTAAAGTCATACACAGAGACAAGATGAAACTCTTTAACAGAAGGCAAGTAAGTAAGCAAAAAACAACTCAAAAACTGAGTGCCAGTATATGATCAAACCCCTCCCCCCTCCCCCCATATCAAAACACTACACCGTCTACGAGTTTAACAGTAAGAAATTGCTCTTCAGTAGTGCCACTAGAATGATGACAAAATGATAAGAATTTGGCTCCAAATTTTTTATCTCCAGAACTTTGTTTCATGATTTACCTTTGTTTTTGAGATACATCCTATCTACTGCTGCAGGTGATTCTGTAATCAGTAACATTTTTTTCAACTAGTGTTTAAAATTGGCCAGTGTGTGTTAAATCTGTTGTGTGGGTATACAGCTAGAAATTACAGTACCAGTGAAATTTTTTTTTATTGGTATTAGAGCTAAAGATCTCATTTAACACAATGAATTACCTTAGTGGACTGATCCTGGGTCATTTCACCATCTTGTGACAAACCAGACACAACATTCATGGTGGGAAGAAATGCCACAGTAACCCTCCCATCAATATCTGATGATGAAGTCTAATAAAAAAGTGATTAAAAA